TAGTGAGGAGACGTGAACACCCAGCTTTCTGACCAGCCCGGTCTAGTGAGGAGACGTGAACACCCAGCTTTCTGACCAGCCCAGTGTAGTGAGGAGACGTGAACACCCAGCTTTCTGACTAACCGAGTATAATGAGGAGACGTGAACACCCAGCTTTATAGGCAGCCATGTATAATCAGGCAACTTTACGTTTCCAGCCAGAGCGAATCCGTGCTGAATTGAGGCAGCGATTCCTCCACCTTGGTTCTTTTTTCTAAGGATTTCACCGTTTTGCACGTGCATAAACAGTCTGTTCTAGTTGACTTCACAGGTTCCTTCCAACTCTGAAGCGGCTCCTGTGACCGTCACGGGTAAGCTTAAGTTTGGGGTAGTTTGCAGTGACCATCTGCTCCTCCTGTTTTCTAGCCTGAAAACATCCTCGTGGATCAGAGCTCAGCCAAGCCAACCATCAAGCTGGCGGACTTTGGAGATGCTGTCCAACTCAACACGACCTACTACATCCACCCGCTGCTGGGGAACCCCGAGTTCTCAGCCCCCGAGATCATCCTGGGCAACCCCGTCTCCCTGACTGCGGACACGTGGAGTGTTGGAGTGCTCACCTATGTGCTTCTCAGCGGCGTGTCCCCCTTCCTGGATGACAGCGTGGAGGAGACCTGCCTGAACATTTGCCGCCTAGACTTTAGCTTCCCAGATGACTACTTTAAAGGGGTGAGCCAGAAGGCCAAGGACTTCGTGTGCTTCCTCCTGCAGGAGGACCCGGCCACGCGGCCCTCGGCTGCACTGTCCCTCCAGGAGCACTGGCTGCAGGCAGGCCACAGCAAGAGCGCGGCCACCCTGGACACGTCCAGACTAAGCTCCTTCATTGAGCGGCGCAAACACCAGAACGATGTTGGACCTATCCGTAGCATTAAAAACTTCCTCCAGAGCAGGCTCCTGCCTAGAGTTTGACCTGTCTTGAAGTCCTTTCTCATTCTCTTTCACCTGCCAATCAGCTGTTAATTTGAATTTCGAAGAGGAGAAAAACAACCAAACGTAAGCAATCAGCTGCCGGTGTGTTCATCGTGTGACGTTGCCTCCCAAGTGAGCTTGGGACTCAGAGCTAAAGCTGCGCTGGGGTGGAGGACCTTCGCTGCACTCTGCGGACGGCAGAGGGAGCACCGCTGTGTCACAGTCTTTTATTCAGGTTTCTGCAAAAAATACAACAGATAACTTTTTTAAATGAACAGGGATAGAATTTTGCAAATTACACATTTTCAAGATTTACTCAAAAAAAAAAAAAAAAGCCTATGTTCAACCACTGGTGTTAACGAACAAAACAAAGATACTGTACGTCTCCGGGGCGGATTGCCTGCACGGCGGCCCTGCCCACGGCCTCTTCTCCAGCCCAGTGTCCACCTGGCTGTGAGCTTTTCCAGCCGGCTCGTCTGCCGGCATCTCCCCGGGACGCCCGACCGTGCGTTCAACCTCAGACTTTTGCATAAAACTAGAACGAGTTGTTTTGCTCTGATGAAATGTAGGCCTTACTTGTATATAATAAGACTGTCCCTGCCTTCAGTCTGTCCTTCCCCACTGCCTTCCCTCCCACACTCATCCACTTTCTGGGGACCAGAGGGCCCTGACCATCAAGCGAGAACATCTGGTTGGGACCCCTGCCCCTCCCCTGCCCCTGTCCCCAAGCCGTCAATCAGATTGTTGAGCAGTATACAGTCGGATGAAAATACTGTAAATGCACTCATTGGGGTTTCTTTGGTTTTTTTTTCTTTTTTGGTTTTATTTCATATCATGTGCAATGTTGTGGCTTTAACATTTTATGCAACTATTTATGAAGACCTCTGTTGTACCTGTAATAAATACATAGAAAAAGCACATACTTCGTACGGTGAGCTTTATGGTTCTGTGCGTGTTGGGGGTGGGCAGGGTGGGGGTTGTAGCCCAGTGCCATCGGTTCCAGGAGAGTGAACTCTTCGTGAAATTTGTCGGTTTTGAGGATTGTAAAAAAAGTGATTTCATACTCTGACTCTAAAACTGGATAATAGGGTAATGTTTTAAAAATTTATTATGCTATTATTCAGAATGCCAAAGTATTTTTTTTTTTTTTTTCCCCAAAAGCAGTCTGGACATTTACTACTTTTTAGACTTTTTGACGTTCAACTTTCTGTAGAAAAATTGGCTGGATTTTGAGCCAGTTAAGCCAATTCAACACTGGCCGTCACAAGGCCGGTGTCCAAGCCTTCGTCACTGTGGCAGAACTAACGTCGGCCTGGGGAGAGGCCTGTAAACAAAGGAGGCTGGTTTCTGGACACGTCTGCATTTTTCTGGATGTCTTTTTACCTTTGCTGTATGAAATGACACTAAAGAAAGAGACCAGCCTGCTCCCCGAGCCACCCAGACATCTGGGTCTTGAGCCATAAACTGGCGTAGTTAAGCTTTGCAGCTTCCAATGTGTTTTATTTATTCTTTCATTGGGTTTTTGTTTGTTCGTTTCTTCTTGTAAAATTGTACAGAAACTTTTTCAAAGACATTGGATTCAAAACTGGATGTGTATTCGTAACCTCATAACTTCTATTCGTGCATTGTTTCCTTTATTATTTCAGTTAAATTTTTACATTATTTTGCATGTATATTTCTTTGTACAGAGACCTTACATGTTTACACAGTATGATGTGATGTAAATATTTTATTTTGCCATCAGTTATTTTAAAAAATTAAACATATTTGCCTGATTTTGGTGTTAGGCCTTTTATTTAAATTGGTCACTGTTGAATGGAAAAGAGAGAGATCGCTGTGGGCAAGTCTAAAGCTGAGGCCTCTCGTGGGGTCAGTGGAAGGGAAGTTGCGGGGGGATTGGGAATCTGGTGAACCCACCCAGAAAAGGAAGTTGGTAAGGCTCCTGCAGACTGGTTCACACAAACCAAACTTGAGAGACACTGGCATAAAAACCAGAATGCCAGCTGTTTACAGTGGGGGCCTTATCCTGGTTAGAATATCTAAGATACCCCCAGTCCTCAGAATTTAGTAGAAAGACAATTTCTTGATGAATGTAAAATCTGAACAAAGGGAAGAGCTGCTTCACCACGCCATTGAAAGGCAAAAGGAACATTTTCCAGACGCCTTCAAGGAAACGAAGCACCTGGGTTGAAGCACCGGTGTTACTGAACAAGCCAGAAGACCCACACCTCTGGAGAAGACTCCCCAGTAGCCATCCATCAGCCTCCCCACGCCAGGGAGTGCCTAGTCCTGGGAGATGTCCAGCTGCTACCTCTCTGGGTCTCTGTTGCGAGGCTCTGACACAGATGTAGCTTCTGACGCTGCTGCCCCACACATCTGACAGTAGGCTACTTAGGCTGGTAACCAGAATCATCTCTCTCATTTTGATTCCTTCGGAGATGGTGACTTCTATTATTGTTCAGTACACCGTAAAAAATGGGTTTTGTTTTTCCTTTTCTTACTATAATCCTCAGTGTAAGACAGGTGTGAAAAGAAACGTTCATGCTAAAACTGTAAGTCAGGACACAGGAAGCTGTGCCTGAGGTGTGTGCCTTATCTCGAGAGGCCAGGGCCGTGAGATGGCTCACTGGTCTCAGGATGGCACGGAAAATTCAACACTGGGTTCTAATCCACAGCAGCAACATGGTAGCAGGCCTTGGGGTGACTCACCTGGCTAACCGCAATTTGACACCTTGTTAGCAGTACAAGAACCAAGAGATATGTATTTTTTTTTTTAATTAGATACTTCCTATATGAGGTAGTTAGGCCTGTAAGATTAAAAACACTTCCAAGTGAAAAGTAGTCCTTTAGATCTTTGGTCTATAATGCTTCCTATCTATATTTTTTTCTCTCAAATATAAAAAGATGTTTTATATTCCACATGTGAATACTTATAAACCTTTTAAACCCAGAGATTCTCTTTAACCTTAAAGGGGAAAAAAAATGAGTATTTTCATGGAAGTACATTATGAACGTCATAGCAAGTGTTCATCAAAAAGATATTAGATAACTGGAAGAAAGGTCCTTCGAGCTATACTTTTTTTCAGACATGATGGTAGGAACAGAAATAATTTGTAGGACTAATGGAATGCTCTTTTTATATAACTTTTGTTTTTATTTGAGATTTAACTTACAATTTGTGTAAGTATGTAGCTCAATAGATGTTTATACATGGATAGACCTATGACCGTCACCCAAATCAGAACAGCATACTTGTACTGTCTTTGTGTTATTTTGGTATCACTATTAGCTTCATAAAATGAATTGGGAAGTGTTACCGCGTCTTCTATTTTCCGGACAAGATAGTGCAGAATTGATAATTCTTCAAACATTTGGTAGATTTCTCCAGTGAAACTGTGTGGGCCTGGGGATTTCTTTTGGGGGGAGTTACCAGTTCAATTTCCTTAATTGTCATAGGGCTCTTCAAATTATCTATTTCATATTGAGTGAAGTGCGATAGTTTGTACTGCTTGAAGAATTTGTCCATTCCGTGTGTAGTTAGTTGATTGTCTTAGGCTGGGTTCTCTAGAGGAGCAAAACCAGTGAAACATATATAAGTATATAGAAAGAGATTTATTTCAAGAGAACGGCTCATGCAGTTGTGGAGGCTGGCAAGCCCCAAATCCATGGGTCAGGCGTCAGACTGGAGGTTTCTCCTGACTCACGTAGTTGCAGGGACTGATGAACCCCAAAACGGCAGGTCAGATGGAAGGCTGCTGGCTCATGGGATTGCAGGAGCTTGTGAAACCCAAAATTTGCAGATCAGGCAGCAGGCTACTGGCTCATATCCAAAAAACCAGAGGTCAGAGGATGATGGGTTGGATGCAGGATTGAGACAGAGCAAGCTTTGCCAAAACATCCATGTATATTGGATGCAGGCCACACTCCCAAGGAAACGCCCCTTTTAGCTGATTGGCTGCTCACACCAGATCACAAAATGGAGGATGATTACATAATATCTGCCAAACCACTGAGAATCATGGCCTAGCCAAGTTGACACATAACATTAACCATCACTTTGATCAATTTTTAAGAGAGAAGTATTGAAGTCTCCAACTGTAATTACGGATTTGTCTGTTTCACCTTTCAATTTTATCAGTTTTTGCTTTACATGTTCTGTAGCTCTGTTTAGTGCACACAGACTTCTTGCTGTATTGACTTCTTGGAGTCTTCTTGCTGTATTGACCCTTTTATCATTATATAATATCCCATTCTGTCTCTAGTAATTTTCTTTGTTCTGAAATCTACTTATCAAATTTTAACAGAGCCACTCATGCTTTTTTTGATTAATGTTTGCATGATATATCTTTTTTCATCCTTTTACTTTCAACACACCTATATTGTTATGTTGGAAATGAGTTTTAGGTAGAAAGCATATAGCCGAATCGTGTTTTTAATCTCTTTTAATTGGTATATTTTAGGTCATCTCTATCTTTTAATTGGGATATTTAGACCATTTACGTTTAATGTAATTATTGATAGGTGGAGGAATCCTGGTTGTGCAATGGTTAAGCACTGGGTTGGCAGTTCTAACCACCCAGTGACTCCATGGGAGAAAGACCTGGCAATTTGCTCCCATAAAGATTACAGCCTAGAAAACCCTATGAGGCAGTTCTCTGTCACATGGGGTCGCTATGAGTCAAAATCGACTCTATGGCACCTAACAACAACAAAAACATTTATAAGGGCTTAAGAGAATCATGTTTTGTTTGTTTGTTTACTTTTTTGTCTTTCTGGTTTTGTTTTTGTTTTTTGCCCATCTTCCTATGGGTTGCTTAAACATATTTAGAATTGTGTTTTGATTTACCTATACTTTTTTTTCAATAATTTAATTTTGTTGGTGGTGGTGAAAATATACACATCACAACATAAACCAATTGAACGATTTCTACATGTACAATTCAGTGCAACCGTTTGTTGAAACATCTCAATTGTTATTCCGTCAATTCCTGGAGCTTTGTTTTTCGCCAGTGCCTTTAGTGCAGCTTGGGCCTGTCCCTTCAATACCATCAGTTCTAGATCATATGATACCTCCTGAAATGATTGAATGTTGACCAATTCTTTTTGGTACAGTGACTCTGTGTATTCCTTCCACCAGTAGTAGTAGGAGACTTCAACACACCACTTTTGGTGAAGGACAGAATAACTAGACAGAAACTCAGCAAAGATATAGAAGATCTAAATGCCACAGTCAACCAACTGGACCTCATAAACATACAAAACACTCCACCCAAGAGCAGCAAAGTGTACATTCTTTTTCAATATACATGAATCATTCTCCAGAATAGACCACATTTTAGGCCACAAAGCAAGCCTCAATAAAATCCAAACACTGAGATAATACAAAGCACTTATTTTGATCACAACACTATAAAAGTAGACATCAATAACAGGAAGAAGAAGGGAAAAAATTCAAATACTTGAAAACTTAAATAACACCTTGCCTAAAAATCTTGGGTAATAGAATAAATCAAGGATGAAATTTTAAAAATCCTGGAATCAAACAAGAATGAAAACACGACATGCCAAAACATTTGGGACACATCAAAACAGTGCTCCAAGGTCAATTTATAGCAATAAACACACACACCAAAAAAAGAAGAAAGAGCCAAAATTGAAACATTAACCCTACAACTCAAATAGCAGCAAAAGAAGGCCAAAGTCATCAGAAGAAAGGAAATAATAAAGATTAGAGAAGAAATAAATGAAACAGAGAACAAAAAAAAACTAGAATCAGCAAGACCAGAAGCTGGTTCTTTGAAAGAATCAATAAAATCAAACCACTGGCCAAACAGACAAAAGAAAATCAGAAGAAGCAGCAAATAACCCAAATAAGAAATGAGATGGATGACATTACAATAGAAGCAGCTGGAATAAAAAGGAATCATAATAGAATACTATGAAAAACTGTACTCCAACAAATTTGAAAACCTAGAGGAAATGGACAAATTTCTAGAAACACACTATGTACCTAAACTAACACATACTGAGGTAGAAATACCGAACAGACCCATAACAAAAGAAGAGATTGAAGATGTAATAAAAGAAAAAAAACCTCCTAACAAAAAAAAAGCCGTGGCCTGGATGGCTTCACTGGAGAATTCTACCAAACATTCAGAGAAGAGCTCACAGCAATACTACTCAAACTATTTCAGACTATAGAAAAGGAAGGAGTACTCCCAAATTCATTCTATGAAGCCACCCCGGTACTAAAGCCAGGCAAAGGCACCACAAGTAAAGAAAATTACAAGTATTCCTCATGAATTCAGATATTTGTGATTTTCTTTACTTGTGGTGCTTTTGCCTGGCTTTGGTACCAGGGTTAAGGTGGCTTCATAAAATGAATCTGGGAATATCCCTCATGAAGGGGCCCAGATGGCGCAGTGGTTAAGAGCTAGGGATGCTAACCAAAAGGTTGGCAGTTTGAAACCACCAGCCACTCCTTGAAAACCCTATGGGTCAGTTCTACTCTGTTCTATAGGGTCACTATGAGTCAGAATCAACTCAACAGCAATGGGATCCCTCATGAATAAAGACGCAAAAATTCTCAACAAAATTCTAGCCAATAGAATTCAACAGCATATCAAAAAAATAATACATCATGACCCAGTGGGATTCATACCAGGTATGCAAGGATGGTTCAACATTAGAAAATCAATCAATGTAATCCATCACATAAACAAAGGAAAATAATGATATGATCATCTCAATTGATACAAAAAAGGCATTTGACAAAGCCCAACACCCATTCCTGATAAAAACTCTCAGCAAAATAGAAATGG